TTGCTGCTTGCTGTTCGTTCGGTTCAACTTCAACGAACTGCGGCAAAATGTATTTTGCACCGGAAGTGCGTCATCTAGCTTACATAAAATTCTTAACCAATAGTAACGAATTGCTGCTGCAGCGTGCTGCGCATGAAAAAGTACCTTAAGAGAATCAACCATTCAAAATGCTTCTCTTCCGTAAAGCGGGGAGCACAGACTTTTGCATAACGCATAATACATAGTGCATAAGAGAATCAACCAATCTGAAGTCCTCCTTTCCTTCTACTTCAACGAAAAGAAATACTGTGATTGGCTGATTCTCTTATGCACTATGTATTATGCGTTATGCAAAAGTCTGTGCTCCCCGCTTAAGGCGAGAAACACACACTTTTGCATAACGCATAAAGCATATGCATAAGGAATTTCATTGGCCCATTTTCTTATGCATGAGTCAATGGACCAATCAAATTCTTTATGTATATGGTTTATGCGTTATGCAAAAGTCTGTGCTCCCCGCTTTAGTGGGAGGAAAAAAAGGACTCTGATTGGTTGATTCTCTTATGCACTATGCATTATGCGTTATGCAAGAATCTGTGCTGCCGCCTTCAAGCCCAAAAAGCCCAAAACACATGAAATGCATAAAGGCCCGTCTACATATGTCGCAACACGCAGAACGCAGTTCGCAAGACTAGAAACTAACCTAACATATTTTAGTTACAATAGGTTGTAGGACGCAGCACGCAGGACGCAGGAGGTTGGGTGAATTTCAACTTTCGTGTCCTGCGTCCTTCATATTTCGGTCTGCAACCTACCACAATCTGAAATACGTTTCACTCGCAACCTGCGATCTGCGTTCTGCGCACGGAGGTAAAGGAGAGAGCATAAAGGTGCTTTTTCATGCGCAGCACGCTGCAGCAGCAATTCGTTACTATTGGTTAAGAATTTTATGTAAGCTAGATGACGCACTTCCGGCGCAAAATACATTTTGCCGCAGTTCGTTGAAGTTGAACCGAACGAACAGCAAGCAGCAAGCGGCAAAATCGAGAAAGCGTACAATATGTCCGTCGTTTCATTATGAAAATATTATTTATTGCAATAAATATTAGGAAAATAAACGAAAAATAGCTTCGGATAAGGTACGGATACATGTTTGTAAATTAGATCATTTTATACTTTACCACAAATTAAAGAGTAAAGTGTAAAGTATAAAATGATCTTATTTACAAATATTCGTACCTTATCCGAAGCTATTCTTCGTTTATTTTCCTAATATTTATTGCAATAAATAATATTGCCTCGATTTTGCCGCTTGCTGCTTGCTGTTCGTTCGGTTCAACTTCAACGAACTGCGGCAAAATGTATTTTGCGCCGGAAGTGCGTCATCTAGCTTACATAAAATTCTTAACCAATAGTAACAAATTGCTGCTGCAGCGTGCTGCGCATGAAAAAGCACCTTATCACACAATACTGCCCACGCTGCCCGCTGCGATGCGAGCATGCGCTGTGATCTTATTTTCATACTCTGTGGCCACTGGCCACATGCGCATGCGTTTTCATAAGTACGCGCCCGAAAAAGAAAATAACGCGAAATTTGAAAAGTTAATTTGTTTTCTACTGTGTGGTACATACACGTGCACAAAGTCACTGCATTAAAAATACAAAAGTACTGTCTAAAAATACAAAAAATCATTTTTGTGTTTTTGAAGCAGTGACTTTTTGTGTTTTTTACGTTTTTAGACATTATCTTTGTGTATCTTTTATTCTATAGCAGATATTTTATCTGCCAACAAATACAATAAGACAAAATAGATAATTTTTTTAATAAGCTACTATGTGTTTTCTTTAATTCAATTAATTCGTCTCATTATACTAAAATTCGTAAAAAAGATTTCGCATTATGTTGATGTTTCTCTTTTTATTTATTAATTTTTTTTATTGACACGTATCTTTTATAATATAATGTGGATATGCAGAATTGGTTATCTAAGCACACACCTTTTTTATGACATTTTATACATATATGCAAAATTCAAACAATTATATTAATAATTATATTTATAACAAAATTAATTCAAAATTAACACTACGATCTTCCAAAACATTACACAAGTTTAATAATAAGTCAAAACATATTTATTGAAGAAAATATTATTGGACATATTTATGTATATATTATTATATTTGCATGCAAAATTTCTTTGTGAACTAAGAATTGTGTAAAGTATACCAAATGTGTAAGTTTAAAATTATAGTTTGCTTACTGACTCTTATTTTTCTGTTCTTTATTTAAATAATTAAACCTCTGGAACGACCTGTAAAAAGCGTTTTAAAGAGAATATTTACTTTATTTTACAACAATATTTTTTTTTGATATAGCGATGATGGTGAACTTAATTGTACTTAAGACAACTGTCGTAATATTTGAATGTCAGATGCTATAGATGATCATGCAGAATGAGGTGCCGTATGATAAAGCGCGAATGATAAAAGTTAAACGAGAACAAGCGCGCGCGCGTGCGAACGCGATAATTACGAAAAGTATGACACTACATGATATGTTTACATTTTACAAGGTATACTTTATTAATTGCAGTTACATATATGAATTTGCATTTTTTCGCTCCACATGCAAATTACTTACACAAATGTTTCATAAAAGGAAAAAAGAAAAGAATATACTGATGATTTTCGCATAGCTTCTTTGTGGCATAATATGGGTATGTATGTATGTATATATATATATATATATATATATATAGATTTGTTATTTATTTATGTATTTATGTTTATGCATGAGTCCATAAGAAATACTTATTCATTACTGATATTCATAATTTATGTTGTCATGAACATGGTCGATGTCACATTTAAGCACTAATCGACTGTTTTTTCTTTTGTTTCTTTCTCTTTTTTCTTCTTTTTCTTCTTCGTGCGATGTATAACACTAATCTAGATCACAGTCGTTTCCGCTTTGCAGTCGAGTAAAGAGATGCAATTAATGCTCCGATGAGTGAGGATGAATGAGAGAAGGGAAGAAAGACAGATAGAGAGAAAGAGAGAGAAAAATTGTGAAAAAGAGAAAATGAGATAGGCGGCGATTATCATTCGTTCATTATTTCCGATTAAGCGATTTTCCCTTCTTTCTTTCTTTCTTCTCTTTCTTCGCGAGCTCAAATACTGGTGAGACGATAACACAAAAGTCTGAAATCACGCATTGCTTATTTACAATGAAATTCGTGTTCTCTTTAATCTTTTCTTTTCTTTTCTCTTCGGGTGAGAATAGAACGAAAGAAGATTTGATTGCTGTTGGATTCGAAATGAAAAAGAAAAAGAAAAATGGATGAAAAGGGAGTTAATTGTTTCTATTTTTTCTACATCTCTTTTTTAAATTTTAAATTCAAAATCAAAATTGAATCTGTTCTAAATCCATTTTCTCTTTGTAAGATTTTTTTCCTTTTTAAACTGTTTTTCTTTTACAATGACGATGTTTCGATGAGGTTACATGTGTATGTAAATAATGCCATTATTTACAGAAAATGCGCACATTCATTATGTTTACCTTCCGCTCTAGACTTTATTATGTAGGCGACAAACGATGATAGCGAGTGACTTCTGTTCTCTTTTCTTTTCGTCGTGAAAAATACATGACATATGACGATATCGATAGAGTATGCCGATCAATCGAGCCGATTATTGAGAAGGAAATTAAAAAACTGTCGGAGTATGTGTTGTTTTTCTTCTGTATCTTGTTTTGCTTTTTTTGTCGAAATTTTTATTAACGAGAGAACAACAGTTGAGTAAAAGTTAAATCGACTAGAACATTGATTAGAGTAAAAAGACCATCTCTTCGGTTTAAGTAAAATCACAGTTTTAATGTAAAATATAATAAAAAGATAGATAGAAAGGTATAACAAAAGAAACAAGAGGAAAAATAGTAAGGAAGAGAAAATCTGGTGGAAAAAGAATTGAAAAAAACAAAGAACAAGAAGGAAAGAAAGGCAGAGAGACAGGTGAAGAGAGCTGGCGACAAAAGTGTTCGTATCGAAGTTCGATCGGTAAAATATTGCTATTGACGGAATAAACAACAGAGACGATCAAGATAAAATTGATAGATAAATAGATAGAAGATAGGCAGACAGACAGAAAGAGTGAGAGAGATTATTTTCGTATAACTGTCCTAATCTATAATTAGTCGTAGAGTATAGGAGAATTACCAATAGCAAGAATAATCACGATAATCGTAATAATTCTAACGTCGTTAGTATCGATAAGTATAGTATAATATAGTTTAGTTTTTTTTAAATTTTGATAACGATCCAAATTCTTCGCTTCTTTTTTTCTCGATTTCGTTCTTTTTCACCTACTGTTGTTTCCTTAGAACTAAAAACAAGTCCTAGCACGAAAATTCATTTTCGTAAAATCTCACTTGCGACGGCAACTATCCTGTTTCGGTATGTGTAAGGCCGCGTTTATTTAATCGATATCGATATACATCGTCGCAATAAATCATACAATTATGTTTCGCTCATCGCTGTGGCGC